AACCAACATCAAACCTGATAAATTGAAGAAAGGTTGGATATACCTCAAAGATTGCCTTCCAGGGAGAAAATGGAGCTGCATTGGGGGCTAGTTTTGCATCCCAGCTGTTATCTGCTTCACCATGAATGCTTTTAATGACCCTATGCCACAACCTTTCTTCTTCACAAGGGAATCTCCACAGCCATTTCCCTAGAAGGGTTTTGTTTTTCTTTAATGGGTTCCCTATACCTAATCCACCCTGCTCCTTAGGGTAACAAACTTGCTCCCACTTCACTAAATGATCTTTTCATCACCTAGTTCCCACAATAAGTCCCTCATAATCTTCTCAAACTTGCTCCAACCTGATTTTCCCGGTTGGGTTTGGGCTAACCCAGCCCAAGTTGCAGCCTTACAATATATATGTGTCAAACATAATAACATGTTCCGCACACATTCTTTATTAAATAGTTACGCACAATATGCCGATTGCTTTACAAAAGATGGCACATTGAGAATTCAATGTGATCTTGATATTTCAAAGATTACAGATATATAATTCTAACACACAATCAAAAAGTAAAAGTACTTCATAATGCAATTAAGGATTCAAAAAACGCTTGTCTCATTTCTTCTTTGCCGCTAAAAACTCATCGTATTTGATACTACATGAAAAAGAAAACTGAAAAGACATAATATGAAAGCCGGATTTCTTGCTAAAATAAACAATTTCTGAAACGGAAGTAGATAATGGATATTGGAAACATCTAAAAGAAGTGACAAATGGAATGATTCGTAACGATCATAATTTTACCAGAAACCAACATAAAGCATACTTTGGATCTTCCAGAATTCACTCAAACACAATCTTTTGAACTTCTCGACCATAACAATCCAAACAGAATAAAAACAAAAAGAAAAAGGATGATCATCTCTTCAAACAAATCTTCTTCTCATCAAACATCATATAACAGACATTTAGACCACATACAATAACCGAGTACTAAGCAACCATAAGCAATATCACCTCAATCCAAGCAACTATAATGATGGTATGTTTATTTATAATGATAATAATTATTATTATAATATATTAATAATTCATATTATCATTATTTATTTAAATAATTCTATTAAATAATAATAACATGCTTATCAATAATGATAATAATTGATGTAACCGTTTTTGGTCACGTACCATTTTTTGTGATGTATAAATTTTTTGGCTAAGTACCTCGTTGTTTGACCCGGTGGTGACGTGCCTTGGTGATGAGCTACTTGGTGGCGAACTCCCTAGGGGAGAACTACTTGGTGACGAACTGCTTGGTGGCGAACTACCTAGT